CGACGAAACTTTAAACCGATTAAAAATTCTTATAAACCCTGTTACAGTGCTAACAAACTGCTAGCTTTCAATACCGCCGGCAATGTTATCATTCTCCTGTCAATTCTCCGGATATCAGTCCAATTACCTGAAAGATACCCGCTGATGCAGAAGTGAGGCAATGTTCACAAAGCAGCTAAGTCCATGCTCAGGTGATCGTTGACCGAGTAAAACGAAAACTAGCGCTACCTCTCACTGCCACCTTCATATACTGTGAAAAATGAAAAACCTCTAACTGCATAATTCAGTTATGCTTTACGAAGCGAAGAGTCGGTGGTAGAGGCAGTAGATGTGAACACCCCGTGGGAAAAGTAGTAGACTATAAAAAGAAACATTATTTTACGAAGGATCGCTTTTCACAGATTACCTATTAAGGTTATTAAGAAAAAAAGTATTGATATCATGAGTACTGCACTCTTTCATCAGCCGGCTCCTTACTCGGTTTGAAATTTGACAGAAAATCTGAACCAACTCTGAATCTTACCTCAATTCTGTTTCCCTTTTGTCATTTCAGTGGTTTCAGATAAAAGAAGCCACTTAGCGCGAGGATGCTCAATGCAATTTGGCTAAAACGTCGGCAGTTGAAATAAAGTCAATCCACCCTTCTCCTTGCGTCGAAACTCGAATTAAACCAACATTTAGAACTAACGAGCTTGGATTATTATTTTTAGTGTGATATCATCAGCGGAACAATCGACAAGTCCCCCAGAACATCGCCTGTTATAATGTTGTCATTCGGTCGCCTGCTGTTCAACTCTAGCTTCAGGCCGATGCACTGCTAGTAATTCGGTTAAATACTATGGAGCCGTGGCCTGCTTAAATGGTCCCCCTAGGCGTCTAGAAACAAGGATGCTAAAGTACCAGCGCTGCTAAAGTTTGAAATAGATTTTTCTTTCTTTACACTTTGCATCTTCGTCGTTTCAATCCGGTATCATTATTTTTAACGTGATATCTTCAACGACGGCATCGAAAAGTTCCCCCCGAACATCGAGGCTATATCTTGTCATTAAGGAGTTTCGAACTGACCTGCTTGTGCTGGATGGCACAGCATTGGACGCTTGCGATGAACCTGAAGAAGTATAGCAGTATCGGAAAATGACAAGATTTTTTAAGGCTGGTCTGAAATGCCAAAAGAAACCATGATTTCAAACCTGGATTTTAGAAATGAGTAGTGTACCACGGAATTCACCTGTAATTCCGTCTATTCCGAACACAGATTTCGCTAGTACATTCCACACATATCGACTGCTACTGATTGATGCCTTTCAATCTATCAGTTTTCTAAAATTAACGTAAAGGGATTCAGATGTTACAGTATTAGTTATTTGTTGATAGCTATGATAAGTAATGTATCTGTTCAAGTTTTAACCTTGCCGAAACCCATTATGCGTACTACACTTTCAATATAATAGTGTGCAGCAAATCAGTATCAGCTGTTGTCCTCTGTTTGGGTGATACACGCCATGCAATACGATACATTCAGTCTTGCCATATTCGTGTAGCATTAGCAATGCTTAACAATGTTTTCTTTACGACATATTCAAAGTAACGTCGTTCTTGTATCCGCTAAGCTTTCAGTCATGATAATAATCCCTTTAATATCATGTTTTCAAGACAGTCACACTTCCAGAAGCATTTGTTCAAGCATGAAGAAACTCCACAACTTTCGCTCTCGAATGACTTGCTCAGAAGCGAGTGTTTAATAAGGAGTCGGTCGTACCTGAGAATCACTGATTTTCAGGTTCTTCCACGAAATTTGTAACAATGGATAGTGACACGTTTCGAATAAAAAGGGAAGGTTTGTAACCGTTAGGACAGGATGTCCATCACTATTCTATCTTCTTTTCATGAAGCCTATGACGAGGAACTGTCCTTCATTTTTTGCGAGCAATCAGGAATGGTTAATTTTAAAGTCGATGACTACAGTCACGTGAAAGGTTATGGCTGTAGTGTTCCATTTCATTTCCCACAAACTGGCACTCATTTATGTACCTGAGAAAGACGAAAGATGAGTGACCTATCTGGGGCATGAACTCGTTCTTGCGGCGGTGCGTTTCTGAACAGGAAAATTTCTGACCAATACATCCTGAACGCCTCAATGGATTTGCTTTCTGCCTCCCTGTTGGATCAGTCTTTACTTCCATAGCTTGTAACTGAAAAGATTTGGAAGATTAGAAATCTGGAAAGTCTAAGCTTTAGGGGTGTCTGTGTTTCAAATCTGTGACATACTCCAAACTGTTCATGTCAAAAGATCTTCGTCAGATTGTTCAAGATGACTTTTGCCACTAAAAGGTTGTAAATAGCAAGCATGTCACATTTTATTATAGCTGACATGACCGAATTCAGAAAAGGGGCATCCTGCTTTTAAGTCAGTAGTTATATTGAAATACTGCATTGCAAGAATTGGTTTATTTACAAGTGACAAAACAGTCGCTTATCAGGTTAAAGAATAACACAGAATGTCATACTATGGCCGTGCTAGTTAGTCAACAGCAAGACAACTTCAACCTATGCAGGTCATCTGCTGCAAATATGCCGTCACACACAAGCAGCGGTGAGACCACGAAGTCGTGGCTCGATTCGAGCTCGACAAGTTCCTCAAGTTCGACAGGATCCTCAGAAAAAAATTCATAATGCAAAATGACAATTTCATGCAAAGCACAAAACGACCCCCCCCCCACTGAAGGAAAAGGCAGCTAGTGTTCCCACAGCCTTGCGGTGAGACGATAGGTTCCTCACAGACCAGTCCTCGCTATCACTACAACTGCCCGAAGGAAGTGTACCCTCATAGGCGTAGTTCAGCAAATCGCACAGCAAACGAAACAAAGAAGAGCCCAGGAAAAGAC